TTTCTTAAAGCTTAGGGCTTAAATCTCTATTGTAGACTGGGACTAATCCAATCAACGTAAAGCACTCACTTAACAGCTTTCTCCGCTGAGCACAACTGTAGGCAACAATCAAAAGGTTTGTTTTCTGTTCCTGTACTGGTGAACTAGTGCAGCACGCTAGAATGACAAATAATATACTTGTCATACTCTAATTTATTGCACTAGTTCACCAGTGGCAGGAACATAAAACAAACCTAAAGAATCACCGATTGTGAGCTGCGCTTTTTCTGCTGAACACAGCCAATGGCTGTGTTCTGCCGAAGTTAGCTAAGAATAAGCGCTTTATGCTGATTGGATAGATCTAGAAGAATAGCTCTATTTCAGCACAGATCTGAAAGTATAATCCAATGAACGCAAAGCGCTTAGCAAGCGCAAACTTCTGCTGGACACAGGCATTAGGTCCAGGGTTAGGTTAGGGTTAGGTTAGAGTATGCTCGTCGATAATCGCTCGTGCGTTTCACGATCTCGAGAACACTCATATTGATGAACGACAAGGCGTGAAGTTAAAGATTAGTTTCGGCGTCTATATGCAGGCGCAGTGCCTTGACGAGAGGCAGGAAGCTTTCAGGATTGACAGTGACAACGCAACTCCGAGCATCGAGCTGGTATAAGTGTCGTCACCGTCGTGTTCGGACGAGGGCACCATTCGGAGAAAAATGTCAAAGATCGAAGAGGCGAACGAGCACATACGCCAGGCTGAAAAAGCGTAAGCACTCTTCTCTTCCCCGGGATCCTTTTTGCCGTTTTCCTGTCGCATCCGACGTTTCCGGATTCTCAAGATGTTCCTCTCGTTAAATTTTGTATTGTCACACGCGGTATGTAGACTGTAGCATTAATCCCGACGCGATGAGCAAACTGATTTTTAGCAAATTCTTTTCCAAATTTATAGCCTTTTAAGGTTTCCAAAATCGTATTTCTTGTCTGAGTATCGTATCGAATGAATCTTTGTCTCTTCCAGCTTAAAACCTACTTTCTTGAAGTGGCGACCCGATTATGAGGTAGCGGCTGACGAGTACTCACATGCAGGTAAAACAAGAAACATAAACCCATTATAATAAAATGATTGAACAAAGTGTATAAATAGGTCAAATATTTCATCAGCTTTCATTGAGCTTGAAGAAACTAGTTGATCCAGTTGTATGAAATGTACTAGAGATTAAAAAAGTGAGTATTTTAGTAATTGGATAAAAAGCTAAGAAAAAACTGATATTTTCAATTTAAAAACTGGTTTTTAATCATTTTAAAATAGTGCCAGTTGTCTTCCAACAAAAGATCATATGGGAGTTAAATTAATTTTGTAATCAAAAAGACATGTTCTAATCCAAAATACGAGCAATTCTAAAACTTTAAAGCCAGATAAAAGGTAGAACCGAACCTCTAGTTGTTTTCTTGATAGTAGAAGTGCTTTCTTAATCAATTCACAGACCTTGCAGCAGTTTTAATAATCAGTTAAGTTTGAATATCTTGAAATAGGTTTCTTTTTGTTTTTATTCAATGGAATTTTATGATGTTGTTTTATTTTTAAAGTTTCATAAAGTTTACGATAACTGTCTCAAGCACAGTTGGGTTGTTGTCATTTTGCGGACTAAAAGTGAGAAGAATACAGAACATGGAATCCGATGTCTAATTTTAGTAAATTTGATACCGAGCTTTTAAAGTCAAACTTGACAGTTTAAGAAATAAGCAACAAAATTGTAATATAATCTTTTGAAACTAGACATACTAAGTAATCAATTGGATAAAGAAAACCCTTTTCTTTTAGGCATGAGAAGTAGTTTTTCATCGTGTTTTTTATCCAAAGTTTTTTAACCACTCTTTTAATCTCTAACATGCGTAGTATTTACTTACAATCTTAAGTGAGAATAAGTAAGAAATTAGTTGATCGAGAATTTTACAATATGTAATAAATTAAGAGATTAATCGTGTAAAAACTGTAGAACTTAACACACTTGAACTTTCTCAATTTTTTTAGCAACATGCTTTCGAGTAGCCAAGTCGTATACTCAGTGCAAAGTCTGTTTAGTGAAGGCAGCCGATTGTTACAAACATACCAAATCGTATCCTTTGATATAATAGAAAGTAATTTCAGATTTTCTGTTTCAGGTGTTGCGTAAAGATATTTTTAATGATATATCAGATTTGTTATATATGAAGAATTCGTTATTTTATCTTTATATATAAAGAATGATTTATTTCACCTTTGTTTTATCATTATTTTGTCTTTATATATCAAGAATTATTTATTTCACGTATGTTTTATCATTATTTTAATAACAAGCTGTTTTTTTTATTATAAAGATATCTAAAGGCTGGTATTCATTGTCAGATCTTATATTTAAGACCGTTTTGAATTTATCTAAAGATGCTGTATGCAATTTTATTGGCTATGGAGTATCTAAAGATGATCTTAAGATCATAAATAAATGATTCTGATAAGTTGAACAGATAGAATAACATCATTTCGGTAGCTTGATATTTTTGTGTATATTAATATACCTTTTTTCCACTCAAACTGTGCGCCGATTATTTGTTGATCTTGAAATACAATTTTTTGTTGAAACAGTAAATTCAACATACTTAAATCGATTGAACTTTTTGACGCTAATTATATTTTTCCCCTAAAGTTTCTGCTATATTTTCCGTAATTCTGCAATTTAACGTGAGACAGATGGTTCCATGCAGCAAAGTACGTATCGTGTATACCCAGAATTGAAGTTGTATCACGCAATTTATTGCGATAATACAAGAACGTAATATTTTCAGGAACATCGAGCAGGCTCTGCTCATCTGCAAAGAAATGGGAGATTTGTCCGAGGTGTCGAAACTAGCTCACAGTGCCTGCAGCCTTTTCCAGCAGCACGGCTCCCCTGAATCAGGCGTGACTGCTCTTGACAAGGCAGCCAAGATGCTGGAAGCTACACAGCCACAGCAGGCTCTCGAGCTGTTTAAACGTGCAGCCGATATAATTATGGTGAGTTTTATGTTGTACTTCAAAACAAATAATTGTAAAATCGTCAAAAAAATTCGATTATTTGAAGAGAGAAAAGGAAGACTGTTTCTCTAATACTTGATCATACAGATACATGTATATACCATACATGTACAAAGAACTTGAAGAATTTTGAAAACTACGAATTAAAACGTAAAAAATTCATAGTTAAAGAGGATGTATATGTAGGGCGAGGACAGTCCACGACATGCAGCAGAATACATGAGCAAGGCTGCGAGACTACTGGTAAGGCTGCAGATGTACGACGAGGCGGCAGACGCGATACGTCGTGAAATTGGCATGTATCAGGATTGCAAGCTTTGGCAGTCACTTGGAAGGCTCACCGTGGCGCTGGTATTGGTGCAATTGGCGCGAGGTGACCAAGTTGCGGCCGAGAAGGCCTTCAAAGAATGGGGTAACTTCTGCGAACCCCCCGAAGTACGTGAGAAAAAAAATAATCGACTTCTTTAACTTGATAAAAGGGAATCTATTAGTACAATTTTCTTAATCCTTTGAAGCGGATTACATTTTTCGTTTCAGCCGATTTTCCTGAAACTTAATACTCAAGGGTTCTTTAGGTCGCTGATTCTGGTGTCAGAATTACAAAATTCAGATGCAGATGTTCAGGCGCCATGTTGGATCTGCTATTGTGAATTTTGTAAATCTGACCTCGTATGTCTAATCAACAACTTAAAAAACTTCCGAATACCGAGTTTCAGATAAATCGATCGCATTTTTTTGCACTTTTGACCCTTTATATTGGATTTGCCATCTTGGATTTTCAAATTTTCAAATTTTGACTTCAGATTAGAAATCAGTGCTCTCAAAAACTCCCAGATACCTAGTTTCGGAATGTCGTTTATAGGAATAATTTTTTTTACTACAAGATATAGAAAACAACATTTTCTTAAATTAAAACTTTAACGTTGAGCTGCTATATTGAATCGATAATTTTAGAATTTCGACTTCGGATTCAGAATTAGCAAACCAGAAACTTTCTAGATATGAAGTAGTAAGACATCAGAATGAAAGCAGTGTTCTTTTAATTTCGGGAGGTGTAACATATATGTTATACCGTGTTTCAAAGGGTTAATGTCGTTCGACAGAGAGTTGTTTGGCGATCGAACAATTGACGATCCTTCAATACCAAAATGGCGGAACTTGCCAATTGTGTTCGATAATTGCAATTTATGTGATCCTCGCAGGTGCAAACGTTGGAGATGCTACTGCAGGCTTACGATAACGAGGACGCGGATGCAGCTCGGGCAGCCCTTAACAGTCCCTTCATCAAGCACATGGACGTCGAATATGCCAAGCTAGCGCGCGGTTTGCCTTTACCACAACAGGAATACGCTATCCCGCCCGCTGGAGTGAGAGCCAACGCTGCAGAGTCCTATGTTTCTCCTAACGCGTCCAAGACCAGCGGACAGGCTACCACCGAAGCGGAAGTTAATCACGTGAGAGTTCATGGTTTTATCATCCATTATTTCAGTATACATTTGAAATAATAAAAGAACAAACTCGTGTTAAATGTATAAATATTTATCGGAAATTCAAAGGCCAAGAAAACTTATGGTGTTATATTCAATTAAAAAAAAATAGTTTGTTAACAATACACAATAAACGTTTCGACTGTACTAAGTTTTCATCAACACGAATGTGATTAATAATGCAAAATAAAAATTAATCAAATAAATAAGTTAAAAATAGACAAACAAGTTGCGTGAATGACATAATTAGAGAATAGAATATATTTGTTTATTTCATCGAGTGTATATGGTGGTTTGCCGATCTTCCAGGCGAAGAACGAAGCCAGCGAAACTAGTCAATCAAAGGAAAAGGTGGCCGAGAAGAAGCCGCAAGCACCGCCGCCGAAACCGGCGCAACAGCAGGAGGACGAGGAAGACTACGAGGGAGGCCTGTGCTAATCGTCTTTGCATGTAAAAAAGAACCCTGTATCGCTTATCAACTTTTAACTGTGTAACGCTTGCATGTATATTGAGCGTTTCGTCGAAAGCATATTGTTCGCTTTAAGAGAATTTATCTTTCACCTTAACTCTTAAAACTTCACTTTCAGAATTACACGGAATGAAATGCGAAAAGAAGGCAATCTATCCCTCTTTTTTGTTTTTTCTTTACATCTTAAATTTTCGTCAATGTGGATACGTCTGGTCACTTTAACTTTTTCTCTCTATAGAATTCTCACGAAAGTTCCAAGGTTTAACATAAAACAAAAGAAGAAAACCCCAGGAATGTCACGCGGAGAGAGTATATTTTTGTTGAAAAAAAAACTTATATAATGTACCACCAGAAACGGAAGAAATTAATTATCTCCTTTGATTGCGACAGTAAAAATACTTCAGGTCCATCCTTCGCGAATTACGTCTGAGAGATATCCTTTCTCAAAATCGTTGTCAATCAAAGGAAATAAGCGTTTTGACAATTCGGCTTTCTGATGGGGCATCTTGTATATAGCGACATCGTAAACGTAAATAGGACGTCTACATTTTATTTTTTATTTTTACATGGATGAACACGTCGTGTATGCGTGCGTAACGTATGTGTGTATGTGTACCCCTCCCTCGGCAAGCTCCGAGTATTTCCATATTTTTAATTAAGAGAATTAGCCGACGTTGTACATACTTTAATTGGAAAACGAGACATTCCTCAGCGAAAGCAGAGATATTTAATTTTACAGCACCATCCTAGTGAAATCGTTATACTGAACTGTTATGATTAAGAGAGTTTAAAAGAGAAAAAAAAACAAATATATCCCGAGATACTGCTGTTTTTTTTTTCATTCGCAGCCCACGGTCCCCGGCAATTCCTCTCGAAGCCGGTTTCCCCGCAAATTGACTAAAGTTGACCTCGTTAGGTGACTTTTTTTTTAAAGCTTACCCTTTTATGAGAACGTCTTTCAACCGTTAGGTTATATCGGCGTGCTCGTTAGGTGACAACACCCAAATAGGTTATGTCTGTCGCAATACGTGTTTATTTCTCTCGCAATGTACTACGCACTCTTAAACGCGAGACAAGTATAATCGAAATTCTGTGAGAGATGAGGGGAGGGTGAGAAAAATTGAAGGAAGAGATACGAAAAGCGCAGTTAAAGAGGGCAGTCACTGCCGAGGGGTACTCACCGGGAAGCACGCGAGCTGCGTGACGACGGACAGGCTTAAGTTGAGGGGAAGTGGCTTCGGGCCGACGACGATTTCTTCGCAGGATCGCGGTAAATCGAATCGCACTGCCCTGTGAGCACCAAATTCGAACTCGTGAAACGTTGTGCGCGAATTTGAAACCGAACGGAAATGGCGCGCGCGATCGTAAATGACTCTCTACTGTAAAGGCCTGTGTCCACGATGCTAGAACTTGGTTCAAGTGGTCAAAAGGCCTGTGTCCACGATGCTAGGACTTGGTCCAAGTTCTAGTTCCTAGAAATGCGTAGCCAATCAACTTGCTGCTATTCTATAAAAGCTGCAAGGTGATTAGTTAGTCCCAGTCTACAATAGATGATTTAAGCCCTAAGCTTTAAGAAATTGGCCAATCACGGTCAAGTATGAGAAGAATGCGCGACTGTGATTAGTCAATTTCTTAAGGCTTAGGGCTTAAATCTCTATTGTAGACTGGGACTTACGCATTTCTCGGAACTAGAACTTGGACACAGTTCTTGAATCGTGGACACAGGCCCTAAAGCCCAATGTCCACGATGCTAGAACTTGGTCCAAGTTCTAGTTTCGAGAAATCTGTAGCCAATTCCATAAAAGCTGCAAGTTGATTGGCTACACGTTTCTCGAAAAGCCCGTATCAGACTACGGATTGGGATTGGGATTAAATTGAAATTTAACCAATCACAGTAAAGTTTACTAATCTCAAGTTCAGTAACTTTTACTCTGATTGGTCAAATTTCAATCTAATCCCAATCCCAATCCGTAGTCTGATACGGGCTTAACGACCAATGACTACGTTTCCACCGAGGGTCAGAGTCGGGCTAGAGTTTGGTCAGAATAGGGTTGGGGGGTGAGCGCTTCGGTGAAAACATCAAATTCAAACCAGTACGGGAATTCTGTAACTTGTAATCGATGCTTTACGTTAACTAGCGACAGCCAATGGCGAGGACGATCTTCGAAAAAGACGCAGATTTTCATATAAAGCCCGCTGCAGACGATGCTATTTTTCCTGCTGGATTGCTTGCAATTTAGTAAATTACTATCATTGCACCACTCAGCATTCAGGATTCCTAGTAATTTACTAAATTGCAAGCAATCCAGCAGGAAAAATAGCATCGTCTGCAGCGGGCTTAAGTTTCTTATAGGAACAACCACTGAAAATCTGCGTCTTTTTCGAAGATCGTCCTCGCCATTGGCTGTCGCTAGTTAACTATACCGAGAAGCATCGATTACAAGTTACAGAATTCCCGTACTGGGGGTCAATTCTGCATCCAAAGCCCACTATAGTGGTGCAATGATAGTAATTTATTAGATTGCAAGCAATGCAGCAGGAAAAATAGCATCGTCTGTAGGCTTTACACTATACATACATATAGTGAAGATATGCTAAAAGTGATTAGTTTTGTCTCTTTCTAACCGTCTCCTTAAAAAGAGACAATTAAGCCGCTCACGTTTAGCATTTTCACTATATTGCGAGATATTGAATTGACCTCCAGAACGAAATTTCATCTCGCTTATATAGCAGTTGCGTTCGGCATTGCAAATCCAACGTGTTGGAGTTGTTCTTTTGCACTCGAGTGAGCGAGAGAGGAGAATAAGACAGAAAGGGAGGAGGAGTGCTCCGACGCCTCGGATTAGCAATGCCGAACGCGGCTAGTGTTGAGAAGATCTCTTCGCCAGGGACTCGATTCTTGAATTTATTCGAAAGAGAAACGTATGCGAAAATTCTGCTCTCAGAAAAGTTGAAAGTCAATTGGTTAAAGACCGTGCGAATAGCCAATCGACTTGCAACTTTTCTGTAAGACCAGAATTTTCGCATACGTTTCTCCTGCGAATGAATTCAAGAATCGAGCCCCTGAGCCCGCGGAGACGCGTGGCCTCCATCGGGCTTCGAATTGTCGCGGTCGTCGACGGCGTGGTGTGAACGCCGCGAAATGTCCGGCGCCGCGAATCAATATCGCGGCGGCAAAAGCGTGCGTTGCGCGGCGCGGTGCCGCGACGCGCCGCGGCGTGGCGCTGGCGCGCGCTTCCGCGGGGGAATGAGTCGCATAAATAGCGGTGCGCGGCGCCGGAGTCGGAGCAGACGTCACGGCAGCGCGGTTGCGAGCAGGACCTCGCGGGATCGCGTCCCTCACGGCAACACCGTCTGTTCGCGCATTGCCGCCGCGGGCCCGCCGTCGGACAACGGGGGATCGCTGCGCGGCCGCGGCTCCGCCGCGAGGGTTTAGCGTACCGCGCGCGCGTGTGTGTGTGCCGCTCCACCGGGATTTCGCGCACGGCACCTCGTCCCACCGATGAGCGAGCGGCCGAGGCGCGAGCGCGCTTCCACCGAGGGTGTCGCGCGGCCGTCGCGGCGAGACAGGCCGCGGCCCAGGCTTTAAATTTAAAGACGGTGCGGATAGAGGAATGACGCTGGAGAATCCGTTCTTCGTCGTCAAGGAGTAAGTGCGCCGCGAACGGCGAGACGAGCGAGTGCCGTCGTACGCATCGATTTTCCGCTCGCGCGATCGCGATGTGCGTCTCGTGCGCGAACACGACGGAGAGAAGAGAAAGAAAAGAGAGGGGGGGGGAGGGCCACCCCCGCGCGCGCGTCTTGAGCGTACTCTCGGTTCTCCCGCGTGTCGTCTAGTGTCGTCGCGGATTTTTTTCCCCCCCGGAGAGGGTTGGAAAGAGGGGCGAAGGGGGAGGGGGTGGCGAGCGAGTGCCGAGACGCGCTTTGCAAACACCGCCGATAGCGCGCCGCGCGTGGCCGATAAGGTTCGCGATAACGCCGGATTAAAGGGGAATTTGCCGCGATAGCGGATCAACGTGCAACGTAATCGCTTCTCAGCGCTTTAAAATACGTCTCTCGGGGCGGGGTGGTTGTATATCTCCGGCTGACATATTGCCCCGACGGGGACAAACACTCGAACGTGACAGATCCGCTGTACGGACGCGTGACAGATTTTCCCCTCCCCCCCCCCTCCTTCCGTATATAAATATTGCACGATGTTGCGCGTCGACGAGATCCGTCGGCGCGATTTCCTCGACGGGCTAAGTGGAGATCGGCGACTTTTCTCCGTCCGAGATTACTGCGAGTTTTATTCTATTCTGATGTATGACCCTTTTTTTGTCGAAGGATCGAACGCAGCTCGACGTGGACAGTCGCGAGCGTCTTCGCTGAATTACTTTTCAATAGTTGGCGCCGTGTACAATGGAGGAAATATTAGGGATGAGAATAAATCGAGGGGTGAACCGCTGAGGGCATTGTGGTGTACAGGTTGGCGGCATCACTGAGCACTACCCTAGGCTTCTTTTGGGACGTTATGCCTTGCTGGGGCATTGTAAGGATAAAACTAGGATAAAGGTAATGCCCGCTGGGCATTACTGTTGAATTTTGATGCGTTAGTACCCAGGTAGCACAAGACGCTCCTAGGAACGTTTTAAGAATATTCAAGAATATTTGGTTAATTAATTGACGTAATGCAATGGGCAATATTGAGAAGGACCGCATGAGCTGGTCGAATCGTTTGACATAGTCAATTTCAAAGAAATAACATACAAAAGATTGTTATATCCGCACTCAATGTCTAGCGCCTGGCTCTTATTGCCCATTGCATTACGTCTATTAATTAATGTTTTATATATAGAGCCTTAAAATTATTATTCATAAACTCACGTAAGAATATTTGGAATGTTCCATAGGTCATTCTTATACATTTATCTTATGTTCGTGGAACATTCGACTGGCACTATGAATCTTTTTCGAATGTGAATAGAATAATCTATCGAATATAGCGTGCCTTTTCACTGCCGTTTGTACAAGATAAGTGTATTACACAATAAGCAATGTGCAATATTGTACATAAACTCGGTGAATATTAAAAAATTATTCTGAACGAGTATTCCAAAGACATTCTCGACGAAAAAAACGTTCTTCTTTGTTATGAACGTACGATTTCTAAGTGTAACAATCTACATATATATTTATAGAATATTTGATTGGAATATTCGGAAATTAAGAATATTTGCACTCCAGAAGAATATTCATAGAACTATGTGTGCTATTTGGGTAGGCATTGGTGTATGTGATTTGGCCAGTGGTTAACCCCTCATGAACAAATTTATAAAACCACAGAAAACTCGGAAGAGAGAGAGCGTTATACCGCATATTTACCTGAAGAAGAATAAAATGTAAGACGTGGGCATAGGAATTGTCTCATACAGTCGTGTCCAAAATATTTGTGTTCTAGCTTACGAGTTCATTTATTCCTAATATTTCCTCCATTGTGCGCGGGACTTTATTAATAAGTGGCGCAATAATTCGTCGGGGTCGTCAAACGCGAAAGAATGTAATTTCTTTTGATAGTAAAGTTCAAAATTATAAAATTAAAGCATATAAGAGTCAAAACGCTGTCGATTTGTTGATTTTCGTTAGGAAAACAGCGTTTTGACTCTTATAACTTTACAATTTTGATTTTTGAGAGTCTTAATCTATCTACCGTAGTAAAGTTCAATGCAGTTTACTATGAAATTGTGCTGCGGTTGAAACACAAAAATCGCAGGTGCCCTTGTTATTCCGCATGTATACATTATGTAATTGTATTAATTGTATACGCATCTACATATATATTTTTCCTTTCGCGATGTTGTATTCAATTAATGCAGTTACATAGTATATAAATACAGAATCGCAAGAACAACTGGGATCGTTGGATAATCCTGGATAAAAATCGAAAGAGAAAAGAGAACAGCGCAAAGAAAATAGACCTTAATCTGGCTCAACTTGCACGATTGTATACAAATGTATTCATAGGCCAGTATTCATAGTCAGATCTTATATTCAAGACCGTCTTAAGATCATCCTTGGATACTCCGTAGCCAATGAAATGTTCAGCATCTCCAGATAAATTCAAGACAGTTTTGAATATAAGAGCTGACTATGAATACTGGTCGTAGAGATAAATCGTATACTTTACACCTAAATATATAATATGAATTTAGACAAATACAAATGTATATGTAGATATAGTGGAACGGTTGAGTTTGATTAGACATAAATGGAATTTAAATTGGAGACCTAAAGACTGAATTGGCTTCGAATGTGGACTTAAATTTGAATCTCGCCGTATCTCTCCCTCGTACCGGACGCATTGTCGATTGATTTGTACGCTTCTTGCGCGAATCCGTTCATATGTAGGCTAATGCCGGCGAGTCTCAATTGGCCCCGACTGTTTCAGCGAGGTGTGCAAGGCGTTGACTAAGAATCGCGGCTTGTACGGGCGCTGGAGCGAGCTACAGAATGTCGGGATCGCCTCGCCGACCGGCGGTATACCACTGAGCGGCTCGGCCGCAGCAATCTCGCGTACGGATGAACTCGACTGGACCACCACCGAACTGCGGAAGGCGCTTCGTTCCATCGAGTGGGACCTCGACGATCTCGAGGACACCATCTATATCCTTTTCCAATCTGAAACGTTCCAATTTAACGGTACTCGAGCCTGAATTTGATTCGTGCGAGCGTGGATGTATACTTGAGCGTGAATTCAACTTGAAATTCGTGATTAAACGAGCTCCAGATTGAAATGGAAATTTTGAATATAAATTTCAGGTGTGAACGTTAGAGTTGAATTCGGATCTGCCTCAAGGACGCTCGCAGAGAAAATCCAAGACGGAGTCAGGGTTGGGAAAGTTGCTTTATAAAATTATCTAGATACAATTAATTTTTTTTCGCTAAAAATGTAACTAGTTACAGTTACAAGTTACCAATTCTGAAAAGTAACGCATCACAATTACAGTTACTCAAAAAGTAACGAATCGTTACTTTGCAGTTACTTTCTTGCAATAAAAATAAAAATATCAAATCTGCATTTGAATTGTAAAGCGTCGATAAAGGCGTTTATGCGTAAATGCAAGGCGATCTGTAGAGGCTTAAAATACATGTAAATTAACTATTAATGTAACTAATAAACTAGTTACTAGTTATCGAAAAGATGTAACTGAGTTAAGTTACGGTTACAGATGAAGAGAAAGTAACGAAGTTAAGTTAGAGTTACCAAAAAAGTAACTGTAACTTCGTTACAAGTGACGAGTTACTTCCCAATCCTGGGCGAAGTAAACCTTGTGGATTTTCAAAAGATGGATAATTTAAATGAAACAAATCAAGGGAGACTTGAAAAATGTTTAACTTCTTAATTTCTTGGGCCATTGGAATACCATTTGGAAATTCACGAATCTCTGATTAGACCAGTTAGATAAAATAAAATAACAACGTTGAAAAACATGATATTGCTTTAAAAAGGCAATTCAAGTTTCTCTTGAATTTAAGACGCGACTATGAATTCAGTTCTCAAATATGCAAGTTTTTTTTGGAAAATTTCCTACGTCGTTTTCCTTAATACGTGTGCACGTATCGTTGAGAAAAACCCAACAAAATTCAAGATCGACAACAAGGAACTGACCGTTCAACGGAGCTTTATCGAGCAGGCGCGAGAAGAGGTCAAGGTACTTAATTGTTAATCGATACAACCATTTTGTATACATAGACAAATATTCTTTTCAAAACACTTGGGCTATTAATTGAAATTAATTACCCTATATTACGGTTATTAAATTTCTTATACCTCTTATACTTATCTTATACTTATTTTAAATATTTCTAACGGAATGATATATAATATCACTTTACCAATCATATAATAATCATTTTACCAATTATATATGATAATTATAACACATAATATATGAATTATTGTACATAAATCACTGCGATTACATTTCGCTACATTTGCCATTGCGATTTATAGCCACGCAAATGCTTCGTTACAAGTATTAACACGTTCACGGAAACGCTCGCGTCTGCGAAACTAATGTCACCCTAATGCTACTATCGCTTATTAAACATTTCGCAGATCATGAAGGACAAACTGAACTTGAGCAGGAGCCGGGATCGCGACAGCACGGCGAGACAGGTTTGTGTAAATTGCGTTTCGCTTTATGTTACAATCTGTCATATCACAAATATTTAGCATGCCAAGCAGTATCAAGCTGTATGTACATACATACCTTGCGACCGGAAAACAATCGAAGAACACAAGTTGCATGTCCGAATGATCAACGCGAAACGCAAACAAAAGAAATAGCAGGAGAAAGTAAAAATCTTACAATTTTAATCGTTTAATCTGAATTTGAGAGATTAATCTCAACGAATAATTTCTCATCATTAGTCATTTTTTCCCAGATGGCACATTTTGAAGAATCCAGATGGCACAGAGAATCTAAAAAGAATTCTCTTTGAATTTTGAATTAAATTCTTTTTCCATCCCATTTTTGTTTTAAAAATGTTCTTAAGAGTTTAAAGGGAAGTCTCCTATTAAGAGATAGGCTATTCTATTATGAGATAACAAGTTTTCAGCATCCAAATTCAGTCGCAATTTTTTTCTCACGGTGATTACACAATCTAAATGAATTTTCCACTAAACAGATTTCACTCCAAAAGTAATAAATTCATGGTGGAGCTAATAAACGATGTCTATTAATTTAGCAGAAATTCCGCTCATATTAGGAACCTGTCTCATAATAGGGGACTTTCCTCTATAACAATTCTGAGCATATAAATATCTGTAAAAGACCTTGTACACGTATAAGAGAATTTTTTAAATATCTTTTTTGTTATAAAAAGTCTATCGTAAATAATTGACATATGCCACGAATTGAAATCTAAATTTGAGTTTAAATTTCAATTGGAATCGAATATGAATTTCTTTATTAGATTTTAATCGACGCAGTTTTGAATTGCAGATTCTCCTTCGCAGACGGAGAAAAATCTGCAATTTAAAACTGCGTCTTACAATTAGTCTGTGCTCACTGGAGATACTAATTAACGCTGAGTTAACGAAAATAATCTTTCATTTATCTACAATTATTTTCACCGAGATGAGCGTGGATTGTTTTAAAGTTGAAATTAAAATTGTTTACGAACACAATTCGCCGCTATCTTCAGCTTTATTCCGCGACAGTGACATCTGTCGGTATTGCGTCTAATTTTTTGTCGGTATTGAACAATATTTGCTATTTAGTTGACGCGCATCCCAGTGATTCACAGTGATTCTAACCTCAAAGAAGTGGCTCGTCATGTCCAATCGATCAGCGTTATTTTGACAGTTTACGCGTTGTAAAATTAATGTAAATCGGCTCGCCAACCCTCACACACGACAATGGTATACACGGTATTCAAGTTATTCGTTACTAAACTCCACCAAATTCCGCAAATAATCAGCACTAGTTCGAGGGAAAATCGTACCTCCAAAGATCCGCGGAAAACAACTTTTGCCCTTTGCTTCCTACTTGATTTGTAACAAATCTCATGTATTTGCGTTGCTTCTATTAATAACTTGGCAGTTATCGAATTTTAAGCCGCAGATGCGCGTACGTGCACAATCTGAAAGTGTATATAAACGAAGTAAATTGATCTTAAGGCCGAATCAGCCTAGCAATTGTTGACTCTGATTGGATTGGGATTGGCGATTGTGTCCTCTAGCCAATGAGAGCCGATTAAATCGCTGGCTGCTTTGCTCTCATTGGCTAAAGAGGAGAATCGCCAGTTCGAATTCAATCGGAGTCAACAATTGCTAGTCTGATCCGGTCTTAAGATTGATCTTTCAACATTTTGTTTTACTTGTTTGTTACAAGTCTGCGGTAATTGTATCATGATGTTTGACGGTATTGTATATTTTTAGCCACTCTTGGACAATAGCCCCGCGAGAGTACCGGCCAATCATGGCACTACTAAATACAGCAAGCTAGAAAATGAAATAGATAGTCCAAACAGACAGTTCATCAGCGACACGATGCATCAGCAGAATGCCATGATAAGACAGCAGGACGAACAGTTGGACATGATCGGGGAGACAGTCGGTACACTAAAAACAGTATCCAGACAAATCAACAGTGAACTGGACGAACAAGCTGTGTAAGCCAATGTCTCTCTCATCATTCTCTTCAGTTTGTTTAAAACTGTCCAGTTAAAAAGTTAAAAATTACACAGTTTCGATTTTATAATTAACGTAATTGCATCTAATGATAAAGGGTGTTTCAATAAGAAGGAATTATGTTAAACGTGAATTAAAAATCGGTGGTGTACAAAAATGAAAATTTCTTTAATAGAACATGTTTGGTAGGCCATTACAATTAAGTATGGAAGATAATGTCCGCCAAATGTTCGCCACGGCTCCGGCGGCATACGTCAATCCGCTTATCGAAATTTGCTATCACATCTCGACACAACTGCTCCTGAATCTCTTCAATGTGACGTGAAATTTCGTCTTTGAGTTGCTGGATGGTGGTAGACTTGTTGGCATAGACTTTACTCTTCAAATGGCCCCAAATTGAAGAGTACAGTCTATGCCAACAAGCCTACCACCATCCAGCAACTCAAAGACGAAATTTCACGCCACATTGAAGAGATTCAGGAGCAGTTGTGTCGAG